AAGGTAGTTGGTAAATCTATTCTCAAAAATCCCCTCAGACAAGGAAGAATGGATGGAAACTGAACAAGGAGAGATTCAACCTAGAAATAAGGAGGAATTTTCTGACAGGGAGAACAATCAACCGATGGAACAAAAGTTGCCTTCAGACGTTGTGGGAGCTTCATCCCTGGAGGCTTTCAAGAAGAGACTGGACTGCCATTTGTCAGAAATGGGTCTCCTGCTCAGGCGGGCGTTGGACTAGATGACCTACAAGGCCCCTTCCAACTGTGTTAATCTGTTACCCCCCTGCCCAAGCAGGAGACCCTATACCATTTATGACAGATGGCAGTCCATTTTCTTGAAAGCTTCCAGGGATGAAGCTCCCACAACTTCTGAAGGCAACTTTTGTTCCATGGGTTGATTGTTCTCACTGTCAGAAAATTCCTCCTTATTTCTAGGTTGAATCTCTCCTTGTTCAGTTTCCATCCATTCTTCCTTGTCTGAGGGGTTTTTGGAGAATAGCTTGACCCCCTCCCTTCCTCTCTGTGGCAGCCCCTCAAAAATTAAAAAACTTTTCTCATGTCTCCCCTGGTCCTCCTCTTCACTAGACCAGCCATGTATCCGTTCTTCGTATGTTTGAGCCTCCAGTCCCCTAATCCTTCTGGTTGCTCTTCTCTCTACTCTTTCTAGAGTCTCAACATCTTTTTTTACAGTGACCAAAACTGGATGGAGTATTCTAGTATTACTAAGGCTTTATAGAGTGGTGTTAGTACCTCACTTGATCTTGATTCAATCTCTCTGTTAATGCAATTTAGAATTGCATTGGATTTTTGGCTGTTGCCACATATTGCTGACTCATATTCATGTGATTGTCCACTAGGTCCCTCCCACATTTATTCTTTTTGAGTTGTGTTTCACCTAATCTGTAACTGTACCTTCGGTGTTTCCTGCCCAGGTGTAAAACTTTGCTTTTCTCCACATTAAATGTCCTTTTGTTGGATAGGGCCCATTGTTCAAGTCTGTCAAGATCTTTTTGCGTTCTGAGCTTGTCTTCTGGGATGTTGGTTATTCCTGCCAGCTTAGTGTCATCTGCAAATTTGATGAATTCCCCCTCTGTTCCCTCATCTAAGTGGCTTATGAAGATACTGAAAAGTATTTGGGCCAAATACTGGGCCTTGTGATACCTTACTGCTTCCTTCCTTCCATTTAGACGTAGTACCATTAAGGACTACTCATTGAGTATGGTTTGTCAGCCAGTTACAAATCCATCTGGTGGTGATGCTATCTATCCCACTTTTTTCTAGCTTACCAAGAAGTAGTTTGTGGTCTACTTTGTTGAATGCCTTGCTGAAGTCTAAATATACTGTCTCCACAGCATTTCGCTTGTCTACTAATTTAGTCACTTTGTCAAAGAATGAAATAAGATTGGTTTGGCATGATCAGTTTTTAACAAACCTGTGCTGGCTACTAGTTATAACTTTGTTTCTATATATTCACAGTTGTGTTTATTATTATCTTTTCCAGAATCCTCCCAGGTATTGATGTTAGGCTGATTGGTCTGTAGTTCCCTGAGTCTGTTTTTTCCCCTTCATTTTTTGAAGATGGGAGCCACATCAGCTCTTTTCCAGTCCTCAGGTAGTTCCCCAGTGCTCCAGGATTTTTGAAAGATATGATACAATGGTTCACATCTGCCAGCTCCTTTAGAACTCTGGGATGTAATTCATTANAAAGATATGATACAATGGTTCACATCTGCCAGCTCCTTTAGAACTCTGGGATGTAATTCATTAGGTCCCGGTGATTTGTATTCATCAAGATAAGAAAGGTGTTCTCTTACCATTTTTTTTGTGCTTATTTTAATTTTTATTTCTAGTCTGTATTTTACGGTTATGTTTTTTGGTAGGTTGGGCTATCGCTTCTTTTTGCATGAAGACCATGCAAAGAATGAATTAATCAGCTTGCTCCGAGGCTCCTCAAGGAAAGGAATTCTAAAACTAAGAAAAATAGAGAGAGCTGCCCATGACCCTGAGGGGGTAGAAGGTTCTCAATTTCTGGTGGTTTTAGGAAAGTGCTGGACAGCCACCCCTGGAAGATGATTTCCTTGCATATTGGAGAAGCTTGAAGTCTATCACTGTGAATGAAAGACACATCTGCCTTGACACCATGTTACAGATAGTCCTCATTTAGCGCCCACAAATGGGCTTGGCAGCTCTGTGGTTAAATGAAATGATTGCTAAGGGGGAAACCTTGTAACTGTACCAGTGCTGCCATTTCACCCCTCTCCTTTGCCCTTCGAAATGCTCTTACCAATTCTGGGATAATTAGCAAGAAGGTAATTACAGTAACTTTGCATTTACATTCATTGGAGAAGGACAGAATGCAGGAGAGCAGACCTGCAGCCTTGAGTGTGCTCCGCAAGCAGCAGGCATCTTCCTTCTGATGGGCTTGCTCTACTCTCTTGTAATCCCTTCCTCTCCAATGTCTCGTCTCTGCAGTGGGGGGGGGGGGGAGAAAAACAAGGCAGGCAGAGGACAACAGATACTGAATGCAACAGTAATCATGTGACCGAGAGACACTGCAAAGGTCATAAACGCAGGACTCCCCCCTCCCCTTGTAACTTCAAATGATTGCTGAATGAGGCAATTGGTGAGATCTCCCTGCACTAAATACTGTAAGGGAAAGATCTTCCAGCCATAATAATTTCTCTGAAATTCCCTTCTGGGAAAGACCCTCAAAAGCAGATCTCTTTCCTCATTTTATATCCAATCAGGAAAAGAGGGAGAGGGAGAGAGAGAGAGAAAATCTAGGGAATTCTTCTCATCACTCACTTTAATAGGTAAAGGTAAAGGTTTCCCTCGCACATACATGCTAGTCATTTCTGACTCTAGGAGGGGGGGGGCTCATCTCCCTTTCAAAGCCAAAGAGCCAATGCTGTCCGAAGACATCTTCATAGTCATGTGGCCGACATAACTAAACGCTGAAGGTGCATGGAGCATTGTTCCCTTCCCACCAAAGGTGGTCCCTATTTTTCTATTTGCATTTTTTACGTGCTTTTGAACTGCTAGGTTGGCAGAATCTGGGACAA